GTGTACCAGTTTTTGAGATTTATTTTTAAAATATTAGTTTTTACATAGAAAAGATAACAGTTGGAGATTATAAAATTTGAATTTTAAATTTTAAAATTTAAATTTAAATTAAAGAAAAATATATAATAATATTAATTTAAATTAATTAAAGATTAAAATTTATATTTTTAAATAAAGTTTTACCTATAAAAAGGTGAATGGAGTTTATTAATTCTCTTGTGCGGGTGTTTGATCAGTTCTCAAAAACCGTAATTTAACCGCAACCAAACAAATTAAAGGTCGTGGAAGGGAACATTAAATAAACTAAAGAGAAAAAGCATTAGTAATTTACTGTGGAGAGAAGGAAGAAACCAAATTTAACAAATTAAAAAAAAAAAAAATTTAAAAGCGTGCTTGACCAGCTAGCTGAATTCAACCATACGAAAACAAATAAAACACTGAGCATGCGGAATACGCTCAAGTTAAAGAAATAAAGATGATTGACTCGTTGACTTAATTACCGACCCGTCTAGTCTATCTTGAAAACAGAAGTGTTAATTTCGAGCTGGTCTAATCTCTCTTGAAAACACAAGTGTTAATTAGTCAATTATGCAAACCTTATTTCCTGGAAGCATCCTATTAAAGTTATTGAAAACATGCATCAGACGAAGGAAGACTAACCTTTGATTATAAGCAAGACCAAGTTCTTTAAATCAGAAATAAATTAAGAAAAAATTATTTGTGTGATCTCTATCTAATTCACCTTTATTTTTACAATTTACTTAATGAATAACTTTTCTATCAACTAAACATGTTGACTAGAATGGGAGCATCAAACTTGTAATTTAGATTTTAATCTTATTTCTGTTGCAGTTTGTTCTTCATTCCTTACAAACTAGATTGAATGATGCAATCAAACACGTAAAACGTAAAATGATACAATAAAACAGCATAGAGCAAAATTTATTGCACACAAAAGGGGAAAAAAAAAGGTAGTCTTAAGGACTGTAGTGCTAAGAAGAAAGAAAGCCTGAAATTTCACCTTTTTTCTCTTTTTTATGAGATAAAAGGAGAAAAGCGGAAATTAAAATTGCTTTTGAAATTGTTCAAATACTTATTTTTTTTATATTAGTTTATTAAGAGTATTTAAATTTTTTATGATTATTCTTGATATTTTAATTATCAAAAAGGACTAATTTTTTACAATCTCATAAAAGAAACTAATATAGAAATTTCATTCTGTGTCCTTGAACTTTGAAAAAGCATTTTAAACCTGAAAAACAATGCAAGAAGCAGAGGCGACTTGTCTGCTATTTTCAATGAAATACGTAGTACAATTGCACGAGATGACAAAGTTACAAATAAGCTTGAAACATGCCATCTCCCTTAGGTTCCAAGGAAAAAGTGATGGCACCTAAAACTTGAATGTTCTTTGCAATCTAGCAGCCTACGTACATTGTTACCAACAAACAAAGCTCTGCCATAATCAAACAGGGGTAGGCCTTCAGGTTACCGAGGCATATCTTAACGAAGTTGAAAACTAGAAAACAAACAGGAAACCACAGACGATCTAACTGATGAAAGAGTCTAATGAGTCTAACAAATTTTCAAAAAAAAAAAAAAAAGAAGCATGGTCAACAAATTACTTTTTATTGACAGAGTGGCTTTTGACCCTTTTTGGGTGTTGCAATAACCACACCATTCTACATAGATGCAACTGCATTGAATTGGAAATGGTGGAAATGTTTCTCCCTATAATATTTGTATAATATGATGCATGCATGTAGCCACTTTCAACAAGCAAAGTTGTTTTGTATTTTATTTGCATGCATCACGCATTTTGACTTGTATTCACCTACTGACTCAATTACTTGTTGACTTTTGAAATTAGTATTTTTTAAATATTATTATCTAATTTTAATAAATTAATATGTGATTATAATCACATTTAAAATACAATTATTTAGAGTTTGTTCTTAAAAAATGTCACTGGTAAGACTAAATTTGGTTTAAAATAATGTCATTTGTGAAGAATAATTAATATAATCTTTTTTTAATATTCTATGTAATAATTAAAGAAGATCAACATTCTATTTGATAATTAGAAAGGAAAATGATTAAAAAAAGAGGTGAAAACTTGATTACTAAGGAAATATACATGGTGGAAATTTAGGTTATATTTGATAGGTGGTCTTTTTGAAAAGAAATTTGGGAAGCTACACAGAAAATGGCACTGACTTGGCTTAGGAAATTTTTTTAACATGTACAACTAAACACAATATAATTAATTATAAAAAGAGTTAATTGATTATATTTGTAATATAAATAAGGGGGAAATAAGTAACTATATCTCCGTATAATCATTATTTTTTCAAAATTGATTGTGTAACTTTTTTCACAAAAAGTCGTAGAAAAAAATTTTATTGAAAAAATGGCAATATAACTATTATCTTTCTTTGATAATTAGCTACATTGCACTTAGATTTGGGTATCATCAAAAAATTTAATTTCTTATACTAAATTAAGCCATTTTTTGCGTAGCTTGTTTGGATTTTTTTCCTAAATCAATCCTATACCAAACACACATTAAATTTTGTTTGTCACTATTTTGTTGTGTTGTATTATAATTATATATGTTTTTGCTTTAAAGTATCTAAAAATATATAAAATATGAATTAAAATTAATAAAAAAATATAATATTAATTCAAATTAATTAACAATTAAAATTTCATATTTTTATATAAACTTTTGGGTATAAAAAGGTGACCAATGAAGCTTATTAATCTCTTATGCGGGTGTTTGATGAGTTCTCAAAATCGTAATTAACTGCAACCAACCAAGTTAAAGGTCGTGAAAGAGGACATTAAAGAAACAAAAGGGAAAAACATTAGTAATTTACTGTAGAGAGAAGAAAGATCCCAAATTTAACAAAAAAAAAAAAAAAACCAACTTAGAAAGCGTGCTTGACCAGCTAGCTGAATTCAACCGTACGAAAACAAATAAAACATTGAGCATGTGGAATACGCTCAAATTAAAGAAATAAAGATGATTGACTCGTCGACTTAATTACCAGCCGGTCTAGTCTATCTTGAAAACACAAGTGTTAATTACCAGCTGGTCTAATCTCTCTTGAAAACACAAGTGTTAATTAATCAACTTTGCAAACCTTATTTCCTGGAAGCATCCTGTAAAAGTTATTGAAAACACGCATCAGACAAAGGAAGACTTACCTTTGATTATAAGCAGGACCAAGTTCTTTAAATCAGAAATAAATTAAGAAAAAATCATTTGTGTGATATCTTTATCTAATTTACCTTTATTTTTATAATTTACTTAATGAATAACTTTTCTATCAACTAAACTGTTGACTAGAATGAGAGTATCAAACTTGGAATTTAAATTTCAGTCTCATTTCTATTGCAGTTTTTTTTCTTTCCTTACAAACTAGATTGAATGGTGCAATCAAACATGTAAGACACAAAATGATACAATAAAACAAACATAGAGCAAAATTTATTGCAAGCAAAGAGGAAATAAAAAGGTAGTCTTGTGGACTGGAGCGGCTAAGAAGAAGAAAGCCTGAAATTTCACTTTTTTCTCTCTTTTTTAATCAGATAAAATTAAGGAGAAAATTGAAAATTAAAATTGCTTTAGAAATTGTTTAAATATTTAATTTTTTTGTGTATTAATTTATTAAGAGTATTTAAATTTTTTTATTACTATTCTTAATATTTTAATTGTAAGAAAAAACTAATTTCTAACAATCTCATAAAAGAAACTTATCTTAAAATTTCATTTTTGTATCCTTGCATTCTGAAGAAGCATTTTGAACATGAAAAACAACAAGCAGAGGCGACTTGTCTTTGTCTGCTATTTTCAATGAAATACGTAGTGCAATTGCAGAAGATGACAAGGTTACAAATAAGCTTAAAACACACCATCTCCCTTAGGTTCCAGGGAAAAGGTGATGGCACCTAAAACTTGAATGTTCTTTGCAATCTAGCAGCCTTCATTGTTACCAACAAACAAAGCTCTGCCATAATCAAACAGAGGTAGGCCTTCAGGTTACTGAGGCATATCTTAATGTAGTTGAAAAGAGTCTTGGGAGCACACAAGTGAGAGAACACGAACACATAGGAGAAGATGGCATATTAAACCCACAATACATACCTCTTAGCTTTATGGGCCTCCACATATATTCTACTATCATATTGTTTCTTAGCGATGTAGGATCTCCTCTCCTGTGAACATGTGAGTCTTTCTCCCGTTAGTGCAATCACTTTGGACTTTAGACCTTGCCATGGACTTTCTCTACTAAATCCATCCTCAAATACTTGGTCACACCAAGATTGAACCATGAACTTTGATACCACTTGTTGGGAGAGTCTAACGAGTCAATTCAAAAGCACACACATGAAATAACATAAACACATATGAAATAACATAAACACATATATATGAGAAGATGCCATATTGAACTCAAAAAGTATACTTATCAGGTTCATGAGCCTCTATATAGATATTCTACTAACACATTGTTTCTCATCAATGTGAGATATTTGCACATCACTCAACTCAACTCAACTCACTTATTCAAACACTTCAACACTAACCTTAA